CCCCCCCCATCCCGCCCTCCACCCATCGCGCCCCCCTTTTCTCCTTCCCCCCCTTCTCTTTCCGCCGCCGCCCCTCCTCCCCTCCCCTCCCCATGTCCTCTCGTCCCATCCCCTCTTCCCCTCCGACTTCCCCCCCCTCCCCTGTTTTCCCCCCTCCCCTTCTCCGCCTTTCGGCCTCCCCCCCCACTCTCCCCCTCTCCCCCTTCTCCTTCTTTCTCCGCCTTTCGCCTTCTCCCTCCCTTCTCCGCCTTTCGCCCTTTCCCCCTGTCTCCCCCCCCCCCCTCTTCGTAACTTCGACCGGAAGAGGTGCGCTCTCGACCCGCGGAACGAGAAACTGTTTTTCCCCTTCCTTCCCCTCTCTCCTGTTTTCCCCCCTCCCTCCCCCCGCCTGCCGCTCCGCCAGTCCCCCCCCCCTCCCTGGGCGCGGTGCCGCGCCGCGCTCCCGCGTCCGCCGCGCCTTCGCGTCCGCTGGGCCCGCGGGGCGGAGGCTCGCGCGTCTCCCTCCTGTGCCCTTCAGTCCTTTTCCTCTTCCTCCTCCTCTTTCCTCCTTTGTTTTCTTCTTCTTCTTCTTCTTCTCCTGCTCCTCTTCCTCCTCCTCCTCCTCCTCGTCCTCCTCCTCCTCCTCTTCCTCCTCTTTTTGCCTCGGCGGCCTCCTGCGCAGCAGGAGGGCGAGTCAGTGGACGCGGGGGAAGGCCGCCTGGGGCGTGAGTGGCGGGCGTGCGCGGCCGATGCCCCGAACATCGGGGGGTGTAAACCCAGGAACGGAAGGAAGGTGGGAGAGGGCCACGAGCCAGACGGACCGATCGGAGCAGCGGCGGGACAGGAGAGCCAGGAGGCACACGGGGGAGCAAGGCGGACGAGGGCGGGGTGGGAGGGAGACGGGAGGGGGGGCGGAGCGAGGGGCGGCAAGAAGGAGCGGGGGCGAAGAGGACGAGGAGGGAAGCAGCCGAGGAGGGCAGGCCCGAACGGACGCGCACGCGATGCCGAAGAAGGAGCAGACGCGACAACTAGGGCAGACACGACACGCGACACCGCGACAGCGGAGCGCCCAAGACGACGAACGGACGAACGCCACCAACGAGACGACGCCGGGCGACGAGATCGACACAGGCTGGCGCGGCGGCTCGGAGGCGGCCCCGAGGGGCCGCCGACCCCCCCCCGTGAGCAAAGGGGACGACCCTGGGGGTGGAGACGCCCCCTGGGGCTCGGCGGCGACGAGAAGGGCGAATAGCCCAGGGACGGGCATTACACGCATTCGCCTGGGAGCCTTGTCAAAGACATCGATCATCGGCGCCCCTGGATGCATGGATTGCTCTCCCCTGGGCTATTCGCCCCTATAGTCGCCTCTGAGGGGCAACCGAGACGCGCGAAGGCAAGACGGCGCCCGAGGAGCAGAGGGCAGGAGGAGGCCGCCTGTGTTGCGCCCCCCAGCCCAGTCACTGCTGGGCCGTCTTGAGCAGCTCGGCCTCTGCCGGCGCCTTTGGGGGGGGCGGGATCCCCAGGCTGGACCTCGAGAGGCAATGCGGCGCCGAGGTCGCCGCAGCGATACCGATCTGGGCCTGGATGATGTGACGCGCTGGGTGGCTGCTCGAGAGGCATTCGCGGCGACTTGGAGGGCGGCCCCGCGCGAGATAGGCACGGGGCCATCCTGCAAGGGCGACATCCGCAGCTTTGGCGAGACGGTGCTGTATCGGATAGCACGGCCAGCACATTGAGGCTCATGGGTGGACGACACCTACATCGTGGAGAGGCGCAGTGGGGCCGCGGGATCTGGGCCGGCAGATCGGACGAATCTCAGGAGCACCTGCTGATGGTGCCTCGGGGGATCGATCGCGCGCGGAGCGTGCCCGAGTTGCAGCTGTCCACGCGCTCGACGTTGGCAGCGTGGACGACTCCCCTGACGTGTTCTGGGAGGAGGTCTCGGACGAGGTCGAGGACCCGACCGAGGGCATGTACGACGGTGGACATGCAGGACGAGCTAGACAAGAGGCTCACGCTGGAGCATCAACAGAGTTTTTTGTTGACTACGGAGTCGGGGAGGACATCCACAAGTCGGAGGTGAACGGGATGAAGCATGCCACCATGCGCTGGGAGAAGCAGTGGCGGTGGAAGCCAGCCACTCAGGAGCGGCGGCTGCCGCGAGTTCCGGTGGCAGGAGTGGCGCGACGACCTGTTCGCGCCAGGGTCGGCGCCGATCTCCACCAGGCCCATCGCCTTCGTGGCGCTCGAACGTGGCTTCGAGGTAATGACGCTGGATGCGACGGGCGCCTTCTACCAGGCGCCCGAGTGCGACGTGGTGGTGGTGGACCCCCCGCAGGAGTATCTGGACATGCTCAAGGCGGAGGGCAGGGGCGCGAACATCTACTGGAAGTTGAAGAAGCAGCTGCCTGGCAGGCGCACCGTTGCGCCAGGCTGGGTTGAGCACGTGGCGGGCATCCACGCGGGCGAGTTGCACATGTCGCGTTGCGACGGGGCACCGCAGTTCTTCTACGACCCTTAGAGCGAGGTGGCAGCGGAGTTGCACATGGATGCCCTCGCAGGGCTGGCCCGAGGGACGCTCTGGGGAGGTTCGCGACGATACCAAGCAGCACGCGACCTTCAGCGGTGGCGAGATCCACGATTTTGGCACCACCTGCGAGCACCTGGAGCGGCTGAGGACGAGATTCGAGCATGTGACCGAGCTTCAGGCAATCCCGAAATACTTGGATTACGTGGTGGACACCCTAGGCCTGGGCAGCTCGGACACGGCCCCCACGCCAGGAGTGCCAGTGCACAAGGCACTCATGGGAACCACCCCTGCCCCGTCCCTGGAGCAGGCAAGCGTCTACCGCTTGTGCGTGGGGCGCGGTCGTACTACGCCCAGGACAGGGCGGACTGCCAGTGCGAGGTCCGTCCCCTGGGCAGGATGCTGTCAGGCCCGGTCGTCGGCGCTTTCGCCGCTCTCAAGAGGCTCGTCAGGTACCTTCTCGGCACCAGGAGCGCGGTAAACTGGATGCCTCAGCCGACGGAGGGCGCGAACGTGGAGCTGGTGGGCTATGGCGACAGTGACTGGGAAGGCGACCTGCGGGCACGGAGATCGCAGTCGAGTGGGGAGATCGAGATCGACGGGGCCCCGATGCACTCGTTCAGCAGGCGCCAGGCGATTGTTGCTGCCAGCTCGGGCATTGCCGAGTACTGTGCGGCGACGGCGGGCGCAATGACATCCTCTACTCACCGACTCGTCGGGCGCTCGAGGGGTCGCCAAACGGGATGAAATTGGCATGGTCAGGAGCTTGGAGGCGCGCGTGCTCTGGTTCCAGCAGGCGACCCGGCGCGCGCTCATGAGTCTCAGGGCTGCAGGCACAAACGACAACGAGGCGGGCCTGGGCGCGAATGTCCCAGGACACGGCAGGTTCATCAAGCTAAGGGCGCTCAACGGCATCTACGCGGAGATAGGCCGGGTCGGGGAGAGCGACGAGCAGTCGGAGGAGGTCGACTTAGACGCGGGGGCGGTGACTCGGGCGCAGCGCGCTTGGAGCGCAGCGGGCCCGCCCCGAACCAGTCCCTCGGCAGCTCTTGCCCTGGGCGCGGCGGCGGCGGCGGCGCTCTTGCAGGGCTGCGAGGAGCCTCCCGCCGAGCCCAAAACGTGCCATTGCGACGCGGGGGTCTACGCTTCGGGCGGCATGGCCGCAAACGACTGGATGGGCTATCTGGTGATGCTCATTATCTGGGCGTTGGTCGTGGCCGCCGTCGGCGGCTGCGCGGGGTTCCGCTGCGCCGACGGGGGATCTCCTGAGTGGTGCCCGGTGCCGCCTGGGCCCCGGCAGAAGACGGTGCCCGCGGGCGCCGCGGAGATCCTGCGCTTGCCAGCCTCGACCGCCATGCAAAGACCACGACGGGCCCGACGCAGCATAGGCACGCATCCCCAGACATCATGCAAGTAAAAATGGACGACTCCGAGATCTTAGCCATTGCAGGACTACGCGCGCGAGGCATTCCCAGACGCGCGCGCGGATTCGGCCAGGGGGCTCTTCTATTTCGACAGGCTCGAGGCGCAGGACCTTGAGCGGCTGCGTTTCGCGCTGGAATGGGCGCGAGATTTGGCCCGAGCATCTTCTCGCACCCACTGTGCTTGGTCAGGCAGTATCGTTTAACTCCTGGGGTTTCAGTCAGCGTGAAATCGCCGCTCGGGACCCGCGCCGAGAGTCCAATGGGGGCGTGTGTCTATTGTTTTTGCCAGGGTCGTGCTCCCCCATCGTGCGGGGGATAGCGTGGCACGGCAGATGCTGAGTCGTGTAACTAGGTCCATTTTTGGCGCAGTATGATGATGAAGGCATCATTCGATATCGCAACATGGTGGCGGAGCTCGTTTCCCCGCCCACGGGGCTTGAACTCGGCCGCCGAGCATCCGCGCCACTTCCGCGCCAGCAGCGCGGACAGCGATGGCAGGCGTCGACGTGGTCGACGCGCGGGTGGACATGCGGCTACAGCGGTTCGATGGCACCGACGAGAGATGGGGGGACTGGGTGGAATGTCCGTTCGAGGCCTACACAGCGCTGCTGGACTTCGAGGAACTGATGACGGAAGCAGCACAGCGGCGAGATCCACTCCAGCCGTCGGCATGGTTTGCGGGCCACCATCGCGCCAGGACTTGCAGCTGTTGCTGGGGGGCGTGGTAGGCGGCTGGCGTGGACGGCCCCGGGTGGGCGGTTGCCTGGCTGCCGCCCGCGCGGGTGAGCGGTGGCGGGGGGGGCCGCGGGGCGGGCGTGCGCTTCGGGGTCGCGCTGGGGGCGGGGTTGCGACCTGCTGCCTCCCCCTAGCTGGAGACGAGTGAGGTGGTGGGCGGCCGTGGGCGGCGGTGGGTGGCCCCGGTGGAAGGCCCGCCAGCTGCGCTGCCAGACGCGCCTGCGCGTGGCGTGCGCTGTGCGGCGAAAGTGGGCTCGGGTGGGGGGGCGCGTCCAGCGCGCAGCGGTGTTGCCGGCGAGCAGACGGTGAACGTGCGGGACGCGGTGGCGCTAGGGGCGCGGGGCGGGTGCGTGGCGGCCAGGAGGGCGCGGGGTGTCACGTGGCTGGTGACGCGGTCATGGAGTTGCCAGCGTGACTCCTTCAGCGTGGCGCGGAGGAGGGTGGATTGCGCTGGGTGGAGGGGGCTTGGCTCCTGGGCGGGGTCAGAATCGGGCGTCGCGACCCCCGCGGCTGGCCAGGGCGCCCGGGCGAGCGGCGGGGGCAGGGCCGCTCCTTTTGGCGTGGGCCGTGGCGCTGCCGAGGTCGGGGGCGGAGGGGGGGCGTCTCCGTCGCCGGGCGGGGCGGGGGCTTCAGGTTCGTCCGTGGAAGCGCTGGGGTCAGAGGCGAAGGGTCTTCAGCTTGAAACCAGGTAGTCCCGTTGAAGCTAAATTGGGCCTGGCGCGCCGTGGCCCCCTCGTGCTCCGTCTGCGGGGGTCGCGACCGCGGTGCCGCGGAGTTTCCCGCGGCGGGGGCCTAGTCCGCGGCGCATGGGGCGGCTTTGAGCAGTGCAGTTGGCTCGTCGGTGCAGAGGGCTGGGTCGTCGCAAACCAGCGTGGCTAGGTGGTAAGCCAAGGTGGCGTAGTCGGGCTGGTCGCGGCGGTGATTGAGGTGGTGGCGCGCGTGCTGCGGCCGCCGCAGGAGCGCGAGGGGCAACCGTGCGGTGGCCCGCGTGGTCCATGGCGTATCGCCGTTGCCCCGTTGCCAGGCCCGGTCCTCGTCGTGGCAGAGGCAAGGGGGGTAGATGGCCATGCAGAACGCAGGGTCTTCGGGCCTCGACGAGGGCGAGCATTCGACGAGCAGTTTGTGTGGGCAATGGCCCGTGGTGCCTCGCGGGAACTGCGCCGCGTGGGGCCCGTCCGTGCACGCCGCCGCGCAGGGGCGCGGTCGCCCTCGCCCGGGATGGGGAGGCGTCGCCGCCGCCGAGTGAAGGGGGTCACCGCCGAGGGGTGGGCCAGGCCCGTCCGTGGACGCCTCCGCGTCGGGGTGCGGGTCGCCGCCGCGGGAGCCGCCGTCTCGATCGGAGGTGGGCGAGTCTGCCGCGTCGCTGCTATTGGGTGAGGGCGCGTGGGAGCGTCGGCGCGCAGCGCGCCGCCGTCGGCGCCGCCTGGCGAGGGTCGCGCCCGTTTGGGCCGGGGGTCCTTCGACGGAGCGAATCGTTGACGTAGACCGTTGGCGGCGCATCGGGTGGGCCGCCGCCTGGGTGGGGGCAGTTCGGCGCGGTGGGACTGCTAGGGGTGCTTGCGAGCGGCGCCCCTGTCCCTGCCGTTGGTGGCGTTGCTGCGCGCGGCGCGGCGTGCTCCCCAGCGGTGCCGTGGGCCGCCCCTACGTGGAGGGCTTCGTGCGTTTGGGGCGGAGCGGCGCGGCAGAGCTTCGCGAGTGTGGCCGCGCTCGGTGGCAGGGCTCCTCGCGGGAAGGGGCCGCGCGCGCGTGGCGTGTTGCTCGGTGTGGGTGGGTGGGTGGGGGCGCGTGCCTCGGGGCCAAGCAATTGGGCTCGCGCACGGTAGGACTCGAGTATGAGCTCTAATAAGAGTTCGAGCCTGGCCTGCCCTGGTAGTCGTTCGAGCGCCTCCGAGGTGCGGCGGCGGTCCAGCTCTTCGCGGCACCAGGAAAGGAGGCAGATGCCGACGGCGGTTCGTGGGCGCTTGAGCTCGACAAGGGGAGGTGGGGCGTTGGCGATCGGCGGCCCGAACTGCGGCGGGCACAGGGCAGTGGTATCGCAAACCAAACAGTCATCGAGCCACGCTGCCATGACGTCCACGCTGTCGTTCCCAGGGGCCCAGGCCGTTGCGATGGGCCCAGGCCGTTGCGAGGGCAGAGAGTGCCCATTTGGGATCGTCGTCGCCAGGGTTGTTTTTGACGCCTCGGGCAGGGTCGTCCGTGGTGATGTCGCGCGACAGCGCAGGCTGTCGCGTGGCCGAGCAGGCTGGTGGGGCGTCGCCCCCGCGGCGCGGCAAGCCGCAGGTGGTCGTGCCAGCGGTGGGCGCTGACTGGGCTGGGGCGCAGAGGGCGGGCGGTGGGCCGCGCGGTCAGGCGCGCGCGCAGGGGCGCCAGACTAGCCGCGTCTTCAGGCGTTGAAGCAGCGCTGCGTGAGTGACGAGAGCCTGGCTGTCGGTGGGTGGCCCTCCGTGGTGGCCGGGGTCGAGGCCGCCGGCGTAGGGGCCAGTGGGTAGGGGCTGTTGCGGTCGCCCACCCATGGCCCATGGCCGTGGCTGTGGCTGACAGGCGGCGGGCGTGAGGTCGCCGAGGTTCGCCTTGCCGCCGCCCGGCGCAGTGTGCGCGGCATTTCTGGGTGCGTCGGCGTGCGCCTGCGACGCGCGGTCAACGCCGAGTCCCGAGTCCCCTGGGGTACCAGGGTGATGCTGTAGACCCCAACTTGGTGGGCGTAGGTGGGCGCTGTGCTGCCGTCGTCAGCGCCCAGATCCCCGAGTCCCATGGGGTGCCGGGGCGTCGCCTAGCTGGGCGCGCATGGTGGGCGCGGTGCTGACGTCGCAGGTGCCGAAATCCCCGCGTCCCCTG